AAAGAACATATTTACAAAGCCAAATTTCAAGAAAGGTCACACGCTCAGCATGGGAAGGCTCAGCGCTCGAGTGATTATAATAGCTTTGCAGGCTTGAATAGGACTCGGTGAGTTTTCTGTCAAATTTTGGGGCGACACCAGAAATCAAAATACCAGGGAAAATGGTATCGCCCAAAAGTGACAGATTTACTAAAGCCCCAACATCCCTTAAAGTAATGGACATGGGACCAAGAGGGAAAACAAAAGTATTATAATCAGAGGACCAAAAACTTAAAGCAATAGGGAAAAGCGCTGGATCAAATATAGGGGGTTGAAGAGAGATTTCTAAAAAATCAAAAATCCTAGCACTATCAAAAATTGCCTTGGTAGGACCATGGCCCACAAGGCGAGCATGCCATCTACAGAAAATAACATCAGATTTAGGCCAAGTGCGAATACCTCTTTCGCGAAGCGGCCTCAGCGACAAAGAGTTTAGAAACGAAGGGCCTTGAGTACAAGGGAACAGCTGGCCCACCGCCACCTGTTCGACGGCCTCGACGTTGTTGAATGAAGGACCTAGATAGAACTCATTAAGTTCGGCATTGACTGGTGCAAGGAAGTTCAGAGTTATATATGGCCGAGTGAGGATTTTCTAGAAGTCTTCGAAACTGAAAGAGTCACCAGATTGGGATTGTAAAGCATCCATTAGGAACGAAATAAAGTTTTGTTGAAATTTGCTTGAGAAATGTAGCAGAGAAGCAAGAAGATGAACAGTAATATTGCGAGAGAGAAGCGCGAAATAATGAGGCGTGATTTAGTAGTGCGATGAAATGACGTGTATTTGGGGGTTATAAGGGTTTGCAATGTCGCGCCTTTTCAGGTTATGGAAGAAAATAATGATTGAAATTCTTGAAAATTTCAAATGTTGTTGGGAAACACAAAATGAATATGGTAAAAATTAATAATTGGTATTAATTCTGCCATATTGGGGGGTAATTGTTGACACGCTAAAAGTGCAGCCCAAATCGAATAGCCCAAAGAATGAAGCCCAACTGGGCAATTCAGGATAAAAGCCCAAATAGAGTTATAATGAATGCAGTGGAAGCCCATGAATGCGGAAACACCATCGCCCAAACTTGCAAGACGCCCAAGATCTAAGCGAATGAAGTGCCTTGCAGTCGCCCAGAGTTATGACCTTGTTCTCGTCCAAACCTTCGAATCGCCCAGAATCTTAGCAAACATAAGATGTTATGGTTATCCAAAAGTGCAGTTATCGAAACAGTTATTGAGTAATTTTATCACATTCCACGATTCAAGGAGTTCAGTTGAAGACGGTTGAGTGACAAAGAGTAGTGGCAACGATTAGAGATGGCAGTTCCACGATAAGTTGGTCATCATGAAAAAAGTGGGCAGTTATAAATCAATTAAGCAGTTTCCAAGTGGTTGATCACGAAAAAATCATCAAAGGAATATAAAAGGAAGAAAAAACATAGAGCAGAGGACCCCGAATCAAACACTCTCAAATAGAGAATATGTAATTTCAATTTCTAAGTTTAGACTTAAACATTTCTTTTCAGTACTCGTGTGCTTGCGCCCCTTGGAAGCATTTTGTTTAGTTCCAATTGTAAAGTCATCGCCAATAAAGCACCCCTTGGTAATGCGAATAGATTATTGTTGGAATTAATACAAAATACAAGGTAATTGTTTTGAAAAAAAAGCTGTTTTAAGAGTGTTTTTGAAGGGGGTGTCTTAGCTATGCTCTATGATAGGACCATTTGACCCTAGTTATAGGATGAAATCCAAGTCACTTGTTAGTTCGAGATCTTTTAAGCTACATTACCGACATAAAAGTGCTAGCTTAATTTTTGGCCTTTTGATTGGTGGATGAGGTCGGCCAGCAGGTTATCATAACGCGTACGTCTCAACTATGACGTTAGGTAGCGATGACTCGACACAAGATAATCATTGCTTGCTTGTAATGATGGAAGAAGAGGCGTTTACATCCTGTCTACCATGTGTTATTTTAGGAGTGATTGATGATGAGGTGAAGCAGACAGAAATGATTAATTCATCACGATATTCTCTCAAATTTCAACGGAAACGTTTGATATGAGGTTTAACTAAATGTAGTCCGAGCTCCCAATATGTTTTCTTGGGTTTCATAATTCTTTTTTAAGTAAATTTTTGGTCGAACACCAACAATGTTCTTTTGATAAGATTATTGTTTCCTGTAAAATAACTTCATAAGAAAACTATTTTAGATCTATTTTTTTATAATATAATCTTTAAAATAACTCACTTTTTAAAAAGGGTAATTGGCACAAAACATCTATACCCTTTATGTTTATTGTAAAAAAGGTCTTTACCTTTCATTTTTTGACATTTTTGCTCATATTTCCACATTTCTTAGCGCTGAACGTCATTTTCACTAATTTTGGACAATTTTACCCTCCATTCAAATAAAACAAAAAGAAATGAAATGAAACAACAATAACAATTGCAACCACAATCCCCAATTTTTAAAAAATTACAAATGACATCCAATTTCTGTTCCTTCTTCTTCAAGTGTGTGGAAAACACCATTTGACTCCAAAATTTGGCAAACAAGTGCTGTAATTTCTAAAATTGAACGATTATCCAGTGTTTTTTGGGCTTGAATTTGAGTTTCCCCAGGTTGATTCATATGTTGGGACACATTAGACTCATAAATTGATGGAGAATTATCCTCTTCGCGCGGATGTATATTCCGTGAGGTCAAATCCAAAATTGTTGCATTTGGCTGATGAATTGAAGCAATTAAATCCATATCCAGTGTCGTTTGACCTTCAATTGCATGCTGGTTGATGCAATTTGTAGATTGGAGTCATGGAGGGATGCCAATTGAAAGGGAATTGGACCTATTTTTATACGTGTTCACTATTTCTGGACGAACAGTTATTTCAAGGCCAAATTGGGGAAGACCCATATGCTCAGTAGATGTGTCATGATAAGTAGTGTCCTTTGGTGGTCGTCGGCGATCATGGGTCCCACCACCATCGTCGAAAATTGGCTTTGTTGACTGCGAGTTCGCTGACTCAGAAATTGGCCGTAGATCTTGATTTTCTGGGTTGTTTGCTGTAATTGGAACATGCATGGATGCGTCTTGATGAGTTTGAGCAATTTGTGGATTGTGTAGAACATGGGCATCCATGGATTTGGTTGAATTTGCAATAATACCGTGCGTGAGATGTAATTTTTAGGCAAAATTTGGCTCAATTTTGCTGGGATTTGCGTGGGGATGTTAGGGTTGATAAGGAAATGGTGGTGGTGTTAAAACCTGGTGGCCTTGGGGCCGAAAATTAAGTTCCATGGTTGTTGGCACCTACGTTGAAAATTTTGTATATATTTGTGACTGATTTGTAATTATTTAAAAATTAGGGGCTGTGGTTGCAATTAGTTATTTGTTGTTTCCTTTCTTTTCTTTTTTGTTTTATTTTAATGGAGGGTAAAATTGTCCTAAATTGGTGAAAATGACACTCAGCACCAAGAAAGGTGGAAATAGGGAAAAATGTCAAAAAATAAAATATACGAATGCCTTTCACAATTGACATGAAAGGTAAGGACACTTTGTGTCAATTACCCTTTTAAAAAATATTGTGTAATGAACCATTGAAAGAAAAATAATTTTAAGGGATGGGACTCAATAAATTAACCAAAAGCCAATGGCATGATACTGACCTCCAATCCCATTCACCTCACGCCAATTGTAGCTTCTCTCTCTCTCTCTCTATACATACATAACAGGAATAGTGAAAGTTGAACCCCAACCTTGAGGGCCCCCATCACCCCGTCCCTAGAGTTTTGTGAGGGAGGTAAATCGCGGGATGTGCCCCATCAGGCTAGGGAACAAGGAGTCCAATTCAATGTCCTAGGAATCGAACCCCCACACTGTGGCTGCCAGCAAGACGTTAAATAGTGTAGGGTTTAAACGGATGATTGGCAAAATTGTTAATTAAGAAGCCCAAATTTCAAGAAACACCTCTCTTGCTCTGCTGTTTTTCTTAAATGCCCAATTTTTTTCCTTCTTTTTTAAATTTTGCTCGCGATATAGAGTTATAAATTTGGTTCGTCAAAACTCGGGTCAAGGCTCGAGTCGAGCTCCATTTTGGAGCATTGGCTCGAGCCAAAGCCAGCCCTGGTGGCTCGTTGTCACGAGCCATTTTCGGCCCGTGAGCAAATTTAAAAAAAAAAAAAAGAAAAAAAAGGAAACAAAAAAAATTAAGCCCCTATTTGAATCACATTCTCTGGCCAGAACAATGAAAAATATAACTATTATTAATCACATCAAATCATCATATTTGACTTTCTATCTCTTTTTTGAATCTGTAATGATTATATTTTTCATTCTCATTCTTAGAGAAATGAGAATCAAAAGGGGGCTAAATCTTTGGCAAGCAGCTACTGCAATGCAAGTAGCAAGCATCCACGCAACTCCTTCTATTAAAATAAAAAATAAAAAATCACGAGCCAACTCGATAAGGTCTTAGCAGAAAGCTCGGATCAAGTTTAAATTTTTTAGTCAAACAAAATCTCAACTCGACTCAGATAAAAAAAAAGTCCAAACTATTTTAATTCTGTACTCGAGTCGAGCTCCAAATTTGAGTTTAGTTTCACGAGTCAACTCGATTCGAGTAGTTGACATTCCTTAACTCTAAACGGTGGATTTGGATATATTTAGGTTTTGTTGATCTTGAAATTACCTCTATTCTAGGCTGGTGGGCAAGAAAATTCAGAAGTTAGGTAGAGACTACAGAAGCAATGGATTCAAGAAGTAACATGACCAAATTACCCTCAAACGTGGCAGGTTAATAATCTACAAGAAATATTCATTGTTGGATCTTGAATCCCTGATAAATAGAGGATAAGTTGCAGTTGAAGTCCCGAGAAAGGGTACAATTGTAATTTGACAAGATGGGTCCAAGTACAATAAATAAAAGAGAAGGCATCACTGTCACAAGTCCAAAGCCTAAAAGCAAGGTACCTGCAAAACACATCAAGAAACAGCATCCCATCCCTTCCTCTGATCTTTACTTTTTCAGCAACTTCCCATCATCATCTAGATCATCTCTTTCTCTCTCTAGAAATAATAAAAAACTTCTCTCTCTGCGATGTCCACATTGTTACCTATATTCAGCAGAAAGAGTGGAAAACCAAGAATAATCATCCACCCAACTCTCTCTCTAATGGCCCAGCTGGACCAAAATTTATGTAGAAGAAAAACAAAAAGATTCAAGTTTTGTAGAACTAAACCTACCTCACCCATACACGCTACACCCACACACACACACACACAAAAAACTATGATTGGTTGCCACAAATGCCCTTCTGCAACCCCTTCAAACTCCCCATCTTCATCATCAACTTCACTATCTTGTAAAGAAACAATGTTTTTATTATTTTTGCGACAATTTACATGGGCTTTTTGGGCCTTTAATTTCTTGTCTTGGTCAGAGTTTTTTCACAGAGGAAACAGCAAAGCAAACAAGGAACCTTCCCACTTCATCTATATTTTTCCTTTCTTTCTGTCCTTTCTCTCTGTACTTTCTCAACATACAAACCTTTCTCTATTTTTCTCCACCTCTCTTTTATATTCATCCTTATCTCCATATTCAAGATTCAAACTTTTTGTGACAAGGGCTTTTAATATTTTGTGATCTGATCTGATCTGATCTGATGTCTAAGAAGACGAAAGGGGTTTCTTTGGATTCAAGGCCATCTTATGGTGGCGGTGTTTATGAGGATACTAGGGCCAGGTTAAAGCATCAGAGCCTCTTGCAAGACTATCAGGAGCTACAAAAGGTATTTCCTTTGTGGGATGTGTTTCTCTTGGTTAAGGATCTGAAGTTTTATTCGATCATTTGTTTCTTGGCTTGGTTGTGATTTATTACTTGACATTCTTCGTATAGATTTCGGAAAATCTTTTTGTATAGTGTTGTTTCGTGATGTTTTCTGGGGTTTTTCTCAATTATTGCTTAACGATCTTCTTCGTGGCGTTTCTTGTGATTTTAAGGGATTTATGATGTCTTAATTTGTATCTTTTTCTGTTGACAACACATCTTCATCTTTTCTTTCAAGATCTTCTCTTTCTGGTTGAAGCTTATTGTGATTTGCCGAGTTATTCCAACTGTCTTATTGTAAAATCTTGGTTTTTTTTTTTTTAATCTTAATATGGTTTTATTTGTATTTAGTACTATCCATTTCATGAATTAGGAGGTTCTTGGTCAACTATTAAGGTGTCTCCCAGTATTTGAAGTATTATTAATGAGAATTTCCTTTTGCATACTATTTTGCTAGATCTAATTATTTGCCCCCTAAAAACGTCCTTGTATGCTTGTAATTCTTGTTCTAAGACATGTAGCTGTTGGTACTGTTTCCTGGTGAGGTCATGCCAACTTCCTTTGCTATTTGATGAATTGATGAACTCAGATTTGTATTGATATTCGATACCTTTCTGTTGAAGTTTAGTCCTCTTCTTAAGTTATTGCCAAGACTAATTTACAATCAAATTCGTTTTTCAGGAAAACCATGGGATGAGAAACAAACTGCAGACTGTGAAACAGATGAAGCAGATACTGGCAGCTGAAGTTCGGTAAGCAATTTTATCTGTATTATGAAATGTGTGTACTAATGATTTACAGTCATTAATTGCAGATATTCACAAGTGTTAATTTGTTTTCCTGTAAATGTTGATGCTATCTTTGTGTGAAAACAATGATATAATCCAATTTGGTAGAAATTGTAATTTTATTTTCTATGGCATCAATTAATGGTAAAGTAATGCTTTCATATACCTTGCGAGTCATTCTTGCGTATATTTGCCACATTCTTTTACTGATTCTTATGCTAACTGTATAGAGTCATTATTCTGCAGGTTTCTGCGGAAGAGACATAGCTATCTTCTTGAAACGAAGTTTCTAAATTCTCCAAAAGAACTGCAATTTGTACCACTAGCACCGTATGCTGTAAACCATTCTACAAAGAAAAAGAAGGATCAAATGTTCAGCAGGAAAGACGCCACTCTGAATAAAATTCCACAAGTTTCAGACTCCAAATCCAAGAGGAAACATATTGGAAAAGAATCTGCTGCTCGTACTGCATTACCAGTTATTAATATTGAGCGGAAGCAAAAATTGCGTGGTAAAAAGACAGATTCTCAACATACTTTAACTCCAAATTCCGAGCGAAACGCGCCACTGTTCTTCGATTTGAATGAGAAGGAAAGAATGTCTGGTGCCAATGATGCTTGTCTGAGGAACTCAGACGCAGCTTTTGATTTGAACCATTATGGTAGTGGGAAAGAAGCTCGTTTTCCAATTCGAGCTCCAATCTTCGACTTAAATGAAATTTCGGTAGGCCTCTGAATTCATCTCTTGTTATAAATAACGAATTCTCAATTAGCGGAATGTAATGGTTTGTTCTTCAACAGACGGGGGATGAGGATCTTCAGAGTAAGTATGAACCCTTGAAGCTCGATGATGCAAGAAAAGGTTTAGTTAGAGGTTTACACGATGAACAGCTTAATGACCTTACATTGTCGGTGTGTAGAAATGCTGGTGAGGGTACGACGCGGGTTCGGAAGCGGAAAATTTCATGGCAGGACCCAGTTGCGTTGAGTGTTTGAGTTCCAATCGAGGCTTGACCAATGCACTTTTGGGAGACCGATAAACTTTCGGTACTTCTCCGAGTCTGTTGCCAACTTGCCTTTTTAGTCTGTAGTTTTATGTGATTCCTTCTATGTAGAGCGATACTTGGTTCTTCAATTTAGCATAATTGACATGTTGGAAGCAATTGTGTCGTTAAATTAGTAGTCTCTTGGCCCTTTGTTATGGAGCAAAATATGCAGATGTAATCTTAGCTTACGTTTTGTGTAACACTGTTGAAATCTAGTTCTATTGATCTCTGGTCATTATTTTGCCGAATCAAGTCAATATAAATGCCTTGTGCTCGTGTGAGAGAAAGGGACGCAAGAGCTTAGGTATGGTTAGGCCATATCAATGTGAATTGGCAATAATATTTTACATTTTTATTTCTTAATGTCCCAGAATTGTAGGTATAACAGAATTGGAGAACACAAGGCAGGTCAAAATGCAAGTTTGATCGATTATAGTTATGCTTTGACAAAAAATGTTAGGACCAAGAAGAGTGAAGGTTGAAATTTTTTATCCATGTCCAGAATTTTCACGTTCTTAAGATTCATCGCCTGCAAATTGCAATCAGACCTTCAAAACCAAAATGGAGAAAAATAACTATTCCCACAATTGACAACATGATTACATCATTTCAACAGGAATAGTTATTCCCGAAATGTCTAGTAGGAATTAATCTTCAGAGTCCGGAAAATCTACAAACACTATCGGAAAATAGACCACTCAAATTTGGAGAAGATAGAATCAAGTAAAATTAGTCTTCTATCCGTTGGCATTCACTTTAGTTTTAAACATGTGGTCTAATGGCTTAACTTATCAAATTAGTTCATCATCTTATGGCTCAACTTCACTGTCGGCCTCATTAACATCCAGCTTGTCTGCATCCATGGCCTCGATAAATTCTGGCTTGACTGCATCATTGGCTTCATTATCATCTGGCTTGGTTGCAATCATGGCTTCACTGAATTCCAGCTCGACTACAACATTGACCTCATTATCAACTGGCTTGGTTGCATCCATGGCCTTGTTATATTCCATCTGGACAGCATCATTGGCCTCGTTACCATCTAGCTTGGGTGCATTCATGACTTCAGTATATTCTGGCTCAACTGGATCATTGTCCTCCTTATGTTCTGTCTTCGATGCATCAATGGCCTCATTATATTCTTGCTTGACAGCATCATTGTTCTTGTTATCATCTGCCTTGGCTGCAACCATGGGCCAATTACCTTCTGGCTTGGCCGTTTCCATGGCATTGTGATCCTCTCCATTCGCTGCATCAACGATCTTGTGATCCTCTGAGCTCACCGCATCCTCAGCCTCACTGGCACTTTCCTCTGTTGTGTTCTTCCCGTCACCAGTAGCACTTTCTCCATCATTAGCTCGTACTATAGCCTTCTCCTTCAGGCTGGATGGGGCAGCTCCATTTTGATTATATTCCTGGAGCCGTTTCACATGTTTCTTCCCATTCTTATGAGCATTCATGACTTTACGAGAAAAGGCTCCTACCTGGCACATCTCACACCAAAATCTATATATTTGTTTCTTACCATTTCCATCCTTCCGCATTTCTTGAACTTTTGATTGGTTATTCTTTAAGTTGTCCAGTTTTCGGTTTTCCTTTAATAATGGCATATTATTTTTCTTTAAGCTCTTCTCCCCCATCTTATTGAGATGCAAAGATTGAGTTGCAGATTTCACTCCCTCCTCAGAACCTAGAGTTTTAGTTCCCACAACCGTTACTTGCAAGGCAGGTTTCTTTGGGAAAAAACCAATTGTATAGTTTTTGCCAGCCCTCTGAGCTCTCAATGCAGCCTCTTTGGACTTGTGTTTCTTTCCCTGCACGTGGTCCTTTAGGGCTTGCTCGCTGGTGGCACTAACCTGACAGAGAGCACAACTCAACTCTTCTTTAGCTTTCTTCCTTGAGACAGCAGCCGGCTGATGCTCACCATCAGCCACTACAGATGACATTGCAGCCTTTCTCTTCTTTCCAGGTATATATTCATGGGGTTTGGTCTACAGAACTCAAAAAAAGTCCATTGCGTAAGTAAAAATACCAAAAGCCCGCCCACCTCTTCCAATCCCCCCTCCCTAACCAAACGCAAAAAGAAGGGGATTAAACAGAATAAATAAAAACAACTATCTTGTTATTTGAGAAAAATTTTTCTTCCTAAATAAGTATGGAGTTTATTGCCAAACAATAACCACAGATAGCTTTCACAAAACTAATAATAGGAGAGAAAAAAATATGTATTTTTTGTTGGAGGTGGAGGGCTATCAATGTGTTACCTATTATTATCACGATAAAAGTAGGAAAAATGTTGTACAAACAACAGAAATTTGTGCACACAAGTTCGTATACCACATAAGAATTGTTGGCATATGATGGAAAATAAAAATATGCTAGGTCTTCTTAATTTAGACTGAACTTAAGTCCATATCTTTAATTGGTCACTGAACTTTAAAATATCGAGTTTTGCCCACTGAACTTTGAAAAATGTCTTTAATTGGTCAATAAAATTTAAAATGTCGAGTTTTGATCGCTGAACTTAGGTCAATGTCTTCGATTGCTCACTGAACTTAGGTTCATATTTTAGATTGCTCACTTAAATTTAAAATGTCGAGTTTTGGCTACTGAACTTTGAAATATACCGTACGTTACTCACTAGCATAACTGTTAAATTTTGAAAAATATCGAGCTTACAGTGAGTAATGTACATCCTTTTTCAAAGTTTAGTGAGTAATGTATAATATTTATCAAAGTTCAATGAGGAATGTACAACATTTTTCAAAGTTCAGTGGCCAAAACTCAACATTTTAAATTTCAGTGAGCAATCGAAAACATGAACCTAAGTTCAGTGGCCAAAACTCGACATTTTTCAAAATTCAGCGGTCAAAACTCGACATTTTAAGCTTCAGTAAACAATCGAAGACATGGACCTAAGTTCAGTGATCAAAACTCGACATTTTAAAGTTCAGTGACCAATCAAAGACGTGGATCTAAGTTCAGTGACCACTGGAACAATTAACTCTATAAACATGCACTTAGCATCTTCCAAATGAAAATTTTTCAATTGAATGGTGTCTGATTAAAAACTACCTGGCCAGCTTCAGTTTCCATACTCATATTCTCTAATTATAGTCTTAAGAAAGGTAAAGCTGTGATCAAAAGGATTAAAAAATTGAAGGCTAATTATAAAGGCCATATGACTTCAGATCTTGATTAAGCAACAGGAATAAACTTAACTTGTTAAATAAATTGTGCATTATTTAATTCTTTTGCGATGATTACTATGCCCTTTCAATTAAAGAGATAGTTCTCAGAAAATTTAGTAGTCCATAATCAGTTTGGTCTTTTGGAGAAGAATATCCTCAAAAGAAGATGTTTATGAGATCAACATTTTATCTCACTTTGATCCCTACCATCCTTTCATTATTTACAGACTAAAACGTAGTAATCTAAAAACATTCAGAGATTGATGCACATAACATTTTAACAAAGCATTGCATCCACACACACAGATTCTAATAAAATAGAAACTCAACACTCTTTTACATTACGCTTACTCTATTCACTCTCAAAAATTCTTTTCTTTTGAAAGACAACAATTTCATCATGTCCAAGGCCACCAAATTAAGATCACATGTACAAGAAAATGAAACACATGGAATGGGAACAAGGAACAAGTACTAACCAGCAAAACTACTTTCTCTTTCTCTTTCTCTTTCCCCCTCTCTGAGACAGGCTTAACTTCTGAAATTCTCGGTTCAGTAGTACATCTTTGAAATGGCAGGATATCAAGCTTTCCATTCTCATGCCTTGCATTCTGCCTCTCCTCCTTGTGTGGCATTGCAACCCTCTCCTGAGTCTCCTCTAGGAACCTTCCCTCACTTCTCATCCCCAACAGTGGAAGCCTAATTGTTGAGTCATACCCAGCTCCCAATGATGGGCCAAATGGAAACCCATCCTCGCCTCTTTGCAGAGCCAATTCTCTCTCCATCATGAGCTCCCTCCTCACCTCAGCTTCCAAAACACGCCTCCTTTCAAATTCTGATATTATTATCTCCTCTCTAATACGTTGTTTTTCAATCTCTCTCTGAATTGCTTCATGCAAGTCATGAGGCTGAAGCAAATGATGATGGAGCGACTGAGGGTGAGGGTGAGGGTGAGGATGAGCGTGAGGGTGAGGGTGGTCTGGAAAGTACTCATGATGGAACCGCCCTGCATATGAAGCCATGTAGTCAGCTGAAACTAATACAAATAAAAATTATTAAAAATATCGACAGTAGCAGATCAGAAAAACTCGAGATAAAAAATAATCCAAACTTGATCAATGGACATGGAAAAAAAATTAAAGTACGGGAACTATCTGTCCAACATAATTACATGGTTTTCGGCTTTGATATTCTTCCATTCTAGTTTTCCTTTTGACAATATCCTTGTGCATAAAATTGTTCTAATTTCGCCAGTGTTATGTTTGTATGTCATAAAGAAACAGCAGTTCATCAACATCTTATCTATAAAACTTAACACAAGTTTTAAACCCCTCGACTGTGTAGAATTTCACTTTGCAACTGAAATTGGGAAGTTAAAAAGAATTCAACACAATGATACTCAATAAACATAAAAACATCAGAAGGTAGCAGTACATCAGAAAATTTTTCAAGAACGAAAATACTTGATCTCTGTACACGTCTATCTCTGTACCTTGTGACAGTAAAAAGTACGCAGGAAAAAAAAAATCAATAGTTTGACACAAAAAAACTGCACTTAATTAAAATCCACAATGCCGCTTGAATTTCATTAATTCCATTCAAATCCAAACACAACTTACTTGCATGAACATATGTACAGAAGAAGAAGTTCAAAATTTAATAAGGAAAAAAATTAAAAATTCACATACCTCGAAGGGCTTGTTCTGGAAAATAATTGTAACCCGTAGTTTGATTTGAGACTTTTCTACCAGTTGCTCGATTATTGAACTCCATTCGAGTTTCTTAAAGAACTCTCTGAGGACATAGAAATTATTCAGTAATCGGAAGGGGATTTCAAATCTTTAGGGTTCTGCAGTGGGTCTCGAGCTGATGGGGGAAGAAATTAGGGAAAGTGCAAGAACGAAAAGTTCCGTCACTCCCTGAGTCGCGGATCACGTGACTGGAGCTTTGCCCCTCGGGCATAATTTTTTCTTCTATTCTTTCTGCTTTCCGTACAAGAGAATTTGGAGAAAGTTATTTTAATTTTTATTTGAAAAATAATATTTAAAAAAATAAAAGTAATTTTAGAAAAAGTCACATGAGATCAATTTTATAAGAATTTTGTTATGTACATTTTTTATGGTATATAAGTGCTTATTGAAAATTATATGAAGAAAATATTGGATGAAAAATGGCTGTTATTTTAAACTGACAAATGAGCATAATGTGATCTCTTATATAAATTTTGATATACAAGTTGGAAAGTTCTTGTCTAAAAGCTCTTTTAAATAAAAGAAATATTTTCATAAAATTAATCCAGCGGTCCAAAAGCAACTGTTGGGTCATAAAGTTTTTTTGACATTTTAAAATCCATCTTCAAACTCTCAATTTTATTAGTACTAGTGTGACCAACGTGAGTTGCATGTTCGTTGATAAAACGAGTCCACTTATTTTAAAAATGATCTAAAAGAATATACATTGTAAAAAAAAAATAATGAAGGCATTGATAAAACAACAGATGAACCATAATAATACTAGAAAAAGATGGGATTACCTTTATTGATGTCTTATTTACTACAAGTTTAGCCTAACATTATAATGTTACAAGAAATCATATTGAAGTAATAAGACATCACCCCAATTTGAAATATACGAAGAAAAAGAGAAGTTGCAAAATCTTAAATCTCTTTAATCTTCATTGATTAATCTCTAGTTGCATCTTATTCTTTTTGCCCAAAAATCGAGAAATAATATTCAAAAGATTGATTTCTTGTATCTTGCCTTTCGATTCCTTATGAAAGAGTAGTAGATTGCCTTTCTTGATTGCAAAAATTATAATATATGACATGAAATATGTCTCCAATTGTTGGATGAAGTTTTGCATTATTAAAGCCCATAATTAGGCAAAATTTGCGTCCAAAAAGGTTTTCATAATGTAATCAAATCAGATAAGAAAACAGCTCTAATTGTCAAATTTATTTCTGTGCTATTTCACCGTGTATTGGGGTGTGATAGCATTTATGAAAATTTGGCTTATGCATTAAAATTTTATTGGGTATTTGGATACTATCTATTAACCAAAAAAAAAAATTAAAATGGGTATTTGGATAGTATCTATTAAAAAAAAAAAGCCCTCAAAACAAAGCCCACTACTTAAAAAAGAATTAAAAAGAAAATTCTCACGGAGCTGCTGCTCCACACGGCAAGGAGCATATTTCTGCTCCGTGCCAGTAGCACACGAAGCTGCATTATTTTTTTTCATTTCTTTTTGGGTTTAAAAAAAAGGTCATTGCACATAAATAACATTATAAACTATTTTTTCTTAACACTATCCATCCAATTTACAAAAATGCACAAAATTTCCACCAAGTTTTCTGAAAACACAAATGAAATATGAAATATGCAAAAAAAAATTAATAAAAGTAAAGATTTTAAAATTTAAAATGAAGTGAGAGAAGAGTGCATACCTGCTATCCGACTAATTACTCAACATCTAGCATCTACCCATTTCTCCTGATTCCGTCTAATAATCTTTTTGCCTAGTAGGAAGTAAGGTGGATATGGATAGTCGAGTCCCATACAAAACTTTACAGGACAAAAGGGGGGGGAAAAAGCCTTAAAAATCTTCTATTAAATCAACAGAACCATACAAAGGAATTGGATATTGCTTCAAGAGAACTATTCAGGACAAAGTTTTTCATGTTGTTCATTACTTCCCCACTCAGGTTCGTATAATCTCTTCTTCCCTGGATGCATAAATAGGAGTATTAGCACATAAATATCTCCAGAAAATCCATATATATATAACCCATTAGTAGGAGCTCAGATAAAATAATATGTATAAGCTCAAACCTTAGTTGAAAATATTCGGACATCGCGAAAATCAATTTCTTCTTGCGGTATACGATTGCCGGCACTCAAAACATCCGGACATCACCAAAATCAATACTTCCCATATTGCTACAAAATGGGGGATCACCACTGTGCAGATCTTAATGAACAGGAATTCTGAGAGTGCGATGGAATTTGTAAAGATTAAAGCAGAATCCTG